TTGGATTTTTATGTGTGCAATAAAGCATCTATGAGTGACATTTTTGCTTCTTCCTTTCCTATATTTACGGTTTTTTAATTGCCTCATTGCAGTGGTTTGGACCTGGGTTACAGTGTTGAATTAGAGTGGTGAAAGTGGACACCTTTCCTTGCTCCTGATCTTAATATTAGATGTAGATTTTTTCATATAAGTCCCTCTTTTGTATTAGCTGTAGATTTTTAAAAAATAAATTCTTCACCAGAGGAAGCTCTCCTTTTTCCTTAGTTTGTCAAAGGTTTTTTTGTTTTGCTTTTAATCACTAACAGGTGTTGAATTTTATCAAATGCTTTTTTGGGGGGCATCTTTTGAGATAGCCATATTTTTCTTCATTATTTTGTCATTATTGATTTTCAAATGGTAAACTAACCTTGTACTCCTCAAATAAACCTATTTGAGCAAGATATGTATTACCCTTTTCATACATTGTTGGATTTGATTTGCTAACATTTTCTTAATGATTTTTGCATTTATATTCATGTGTGATACTTGTCTTTTCTTGTCATGTTTTTGTCATGTTTTTGGTGTGAGGATTATACTAGTCTTATAAAACAAATTGGAAAGTGTTCCCTCTTCTTTGAAAGATTTTGTTAAAACTAGTATAACACCAGTGAAGCTCTCTGAACCTAGAGTTTTCTACGTGAAAGTGGTTTTAATTACAAGTTTAGTTTCTTTAACGGATAATGGTGATTCAGATTTTCTAATTCATTTGTTTGTTTTGGAAACTTGGGATTTTTTAAGCAATTTGACTATGTCATCTAAGTTTTTAAATTTTTTGGCGTATTGCTCATAATTTCCCAGTAATTCCCTTTAAATGTCTATAAGATCTAGTGATGTCTTTGCTTGTGTTCCTGATGTTGATAATTTGTTTTGGGGCATTATTCTTTATTTCTCCTTCTCTATCACTTTTCACATCTACACCATCCTTCCTGTTCCCATTTTAATTTAGAATGATGCCAAACTTTTCCTAGGGAGGCTGTAATAACCACACTTCCTGCTTACAATCTTTCTTGTGTCCCATTTACCATCTTTTAGGAAGAAAGATCTTTCTAAAGTACAAATGTAATTAAATCTTTTCTAGCTTAAAACTTTGATAATTTACTAATTCCTTCAGGAAAAAAAAATATATATATGCTCCTTCCTATGAAATATAAAGTCATCATTGATAAGGTATCTGTTTGTCTCAATAGGTACCTGTCTTTTCTTATATTTACTTCTCCCTTATTATCTCTGCCCGCAGGCCATAAGGAAGTATACTGCCTTTCTAGAAGTATACTGCCTTTCTAGGGATTCTTCACCTAAAAACAGAATGCAGCATTTCAGATGTGATATGATCAATACTAAGACAAAAATTGTCTCCTAACTTCTCCTTTACTGAGACAGTTGTTAATATTTGATTGGTATGGTCTCAATATTTATTATTTATTTGACATAATACCTTTTATTCAGTAGATTTTTATATTCACAGCACTATCTCACCCCAAAACATTATTTTAAAGCCCAGTTTCCATTTTCTGTTACCTCAAAGCATATTAAGTAATAGGGATGCATCTATTTGCTCCAATCAGAGTACCACCTATCAGACAGCTATTTGATCCCTCCTCCTCAAACCCATGATAATGAGTTTATTTCAGCTTGGCAGTGTTAGTGTTGGTATTTGACCTGCCATCAGATGACTAGATGATGTGTATTTCTTTGTAGTATCATTTCATAGTTTGCAAAATGAAGAAACATTCCTCTGAAACTGTCTAGCTGGTTTGGAAGTAAAGCAGTTGTTTCTTTTCTTGTCAGTCCTTCACCTCCTCACCCCCAGGGGAATCAGGATGCCCCACGTTATATTTAAAAGCCTAAACACATCAAACTTTTATTCTTCTGTTGCGTTTGAAAGGGGGACGTTATTAGCTCTGTCTTGATGTAGCAGGGGCTCTGAAAGTCTATTTGGATAACACTGAAGATTGGAGGAAATGTGACTCTGTCTGTGTGTTTTAAGCCCCTAAGGTAAGATCAGAAAGCGTCTGGGGCAGTGAGAGCCAAATAGTTGAAGTCATACATTAATTATGGTCATGAATCATTTTTATTTTTAAAGTCTTTACCATTTGACAAGGTTGTTTGCATAGTACCAGTGAGTTTCAGGCAGCATTTTCCCCCTTTTAAAGTAACAGGCTATTTTGTTGATTTCTGCTCTGAGTTGATAATGCCTATTATTATTATTAGAATTCTGATAACTTTTTCAGTAAAAATTTCATGTTTCCTTACTTAAGTGAGTGGTCTTTATTTGATTTTTGTTTTGAATATAGTATTTTAAAGTTATAAATATAGAAAACTATCACCATAATTATTGAGTAATTTTTAAAAATTGAGGTAAAATTTACATACAGTGAAATGCATAGATCTTAACTTTAAATTCTGCATATAACTATGTAGCCATACCCCAATAAAGATATATAGGACATTTCCATCACCTCAGGGAGTTCCCTTTGTTCCCCCTGTTTTCTGCCAGTCAGTCCCACCCCACATAGACAACTAGCAACTCTTGATTTCTGTTCCCATGGATTGCTTTTACCTGTTCTTGAACTATGCATAAATGGAATCATACAGTATACTTTTTGTTTCTGGCTTTTTTCACTCAACATAATGTTTTCGAGATTCATTCATATTGTTGTGTGATTCAATGTGTCTTCCTTTGTATTGATGAGTAGAATTTCATGATTATACCTCAGTTTATTAATTCTCCTGTTTGATAGACATTTGTGTTGTTTCTATGAACATTCTTCTACAGATCTTCTTGTGGACATATGTTTTTATATTTCTTGAGTAAATGCTTAGGAGTAGAAATACTGGGTCATAGGTTAGGTGGATGTTTAACTTTATAAAAACTGTTTTCCAAATGATAGTACTCTTTTACACTTTTACCAGTAATGTGTACAAGTTCCAGTTGTTCCACATCCTTGCAGTATTAGGTGTTGTCATTTTAATTTTAGCTATTCTAGCAGGTGTGACATGGTATCTCCTTATGATTTTAATTTGCATTTTCATGATGACCAAGATGTCGAGTACCTTTTGTTATACTTATTGGCCACTCTTATGTCACCTTTGTGAAGAATTGTACTTTTTTGCCCATTTTTAATTGGGTGGTCTTTTTGTTACTGATTTATAAGAGTTCTTTATATACTCCAGACGCAGTCCTTTGTCAGATTGATGTTTTGCAAGTATTTTCTCCCAGTCTGTGAATTGCTTATCATTTTCTTAATGGCATCTTTAGATGAACGGACATTTTTTATTTTTGTGAGGTCCAATTTATCTATTTTTAATTTTATGGTTAGTGCTTTTCATGCCTTCTCTATGAAATCTTTACCTCCCCTGAGGTTTCAAGAGATTCTGTTTCTTCTACAAGTTTTATGATTTTAGGGTTTATGTTTACTGTGCTGTCCTTGAATTAATCTCATGTGCTGTGAGGTAGGGAATGAAATTAATTTTTCTTGCCTACATTTATCCAATGTTCCAGTACCATTTGTTTAGAAAGCTTTCTTTTCTCCATTAATTTACCTAGGTTCCTTTGTCCAAAATCAATTGACCATATATGTGTAGCTCTATTTATATAATCTTTACTCTGTTCCATTGATCTATGTTTTGGTAGTTATGCTAGTACCATATTGTTTTGATTATGTAGTTTTATAAAAAAAAAAAGTTTATCTTGGTTTCTCTCTTCTGGATTCTTTGTTTTTCTGTATAAATTACAGTATCAGCTTCTTAATTTCTTTCAAAAAAATGAAAGCCTTTTGAGATTGGAATTGTGATTGTGGGACAATGACCCCATATATAGAAATATAACAAATTTCTGTACATTGACCTTGTATCCTGTGACCTAATTAGTTTTAGTAGTTGTTTTGTAGATTACTAATGAAATTCATTTTCGGGGCGCCTGGGTAGCTCAGTGGTTAAGCGTCTACCTTCGGCTCAGGTCATCATCCCAGGGTCCTGGGATCGAGTCCCGCATTGGGCTCCCTGCTCGGCGGGGAGCCTGCTTCTCCGTCTCCTGCTCCCCCTGCTTGTGTTCCTTCTCTTGCTGTCTCTCTTTGTCTGTCAAATAAATAAATAAAAATCTTTAAAAAAATATTTTAAAAAATTCATTTTCATTATATGAAAATCATGACATCTAAAAATAAAGACAATTTGTGTGTATGTATAAGAAATATATAATCTATATTTGAAGACCAAGAGACTAAGAAAAACACAAACCCATAATGAAAGCAAAAAAGAAAAATAGTTCTTAATTTTTTCAGTGTTCCTTGTTTCAAAGTGGCTGTTGCTGCTGTAACTGGGATTATTGTTAATTCTTTTTTTCTTTGTGTATCGCCATAACTAATATTCAGCCTTGTTATCAGTGATGTTCTCCTGGTGACTTTAGCACTCCACTTAATTTCTCTGGGCCTCAGTTTTCACCTTTCTAACATGATAGGATTCAACCAGATTCTTTTCTATAAAAAAAAAAAATTATCTATTTGAGAGAGAGACCATTGGGGGAGGGGCAGAGGGAGAGAATCTTCAAGCAGACTCCCTTCTGAGTGTGGAGCCTGACTGCGGGCTTGATCCCTTGACCCATGAGATCATGACCTGAGCTGAAACCAAGAGCCAGGTGCTTAACCAAGTGAGCCACCCAGGAGCCTCTCAGATTATTTTTCTAAGGTGTCTTCCAGACTCCTGTGAGTTCACCATTTTAACTCTCAATATATCAGAGGTGGGCAGGCAGGCAGGCATAGAAAGGGTGTTTTTAGGATCCATAGTAATCCCTGTTTATTTCATTATAAATATGCTAGGGAATTATGAAATGATCAGTTTGAGTTGATTACTAGTTCTGCATATCCTGGAAGGTTTGTCCTCATTTTGTTCCATTTATATTTGTTGCTCTGTGTTAAGAGTTTATAGTTAACTCACTTAAATTTTTCTGCAACTTTTATTTCTAGGCTTCATAGAGCCCAGTGTGCAATTAAACAGACTCAGGTAACTGTTCAGAAAATTGGAAAGGAAATTGAAGAAAAGCTAAGGCTCACATCTACAAGCAATGAACTGGTAGGTTTTTAAATATATTTACTTGTTTAGACTCCTTGATTTCTAAATGTGATTATCATATTCTTCTTATATTAATTTTTTTTCAAAAAGCTTTAGGTAGTTATTTTTTCTCTTAATGTTTTGCTGAGACTTATGTTGGCATTTAAATGTTGGAAAACACTTTCCTATTTCCTAATAATCTAACATGCAAAGTGCCTGCCTTTTGCTGCTAGATGAAACTTTAGATTACATACAGTTACTTAGAAAATAATTAAAAGTTATTTTATTAATGTCTTACCAATGTGAACTCTAGACATGAACTATATATTGAATAAGAAATAGCTGCCAGAAGGAAAAAAAATTTGGGTCTAATCTCATTTTAAAACATGAATTTAGAGCTACCCTACAACCCTGCAATTGCACTACTGGATATTCACCCCAAAGATACAAATGTAGTGATCCAAAGGGGCACATGCGCCCCAATGTTTATAGCAGCAATGTCCACAATAGTCAAACTATGGAAAGAGCCTAGATGTCCATCAACAGGTGAATGGATAAAGAAGATGTGGTATATATATACAATGGAATATTATGCAGCCATCAAAAAAAAAATGAAATCTTGCCATTTGCAATGACGTGGATGGAACTAGAGGGTATTATGCCAAGTGAAATAAGTCAATCAGAGAAAGACAAGTATCATATGATCTCACTGATATGAGGAATTT